CCCCAAAACCCCAAAACCCCAGAGTACTAGATAGGGGTGATAATAAATTAATCGAAAGATATTAATTCTAATTCCTATGACAAGTCTCATATATTTTTGTGGTTAATATGAAGTGATGTGGTCAAAATTTGAAAATGGAATGTTAGCAAACTTATATGTTTTTGCTCTATTAAGAGAACAAGAACCAGCCGTCTGCGCCCAATAGTGGGAAGGGCAAAGTGATATCGTCCCAAGGCTATCTCCACCTCATTAAAGAGATTTCGAAATTTAAGGGTCTTAATTTTATTTTTGTTCGTGCTTAGTATATATTCATGATCACATCTTTAGTTTTAAAAATTAATTATAAGTTTATACTTTAGTTTTTATTTATATTGTCGTTAATGAATATAAAATTTAAAATCGTAAAAAATGGACAGTAGTCAGAATTTTGTAGATCATAGTGTGGCTTCCTAAGCCATAATTTAAAAGTTACAACAATTATAAATAGAAAAGGCGAAGCTTGAAGAAGCGATTCGTCTCTAAAAACAAAAAGAGCAGTCTTAGAAAAACACAAGGTATAGCTGTGGTAATTCTATTGGAAAGTCAAATGAGATAATTCACACTCCCTTTGATAATTGCCAAATAATCATTACTGCCACTGATGATCGTTTAAGTGAAATCACCACCCAATAAACTTGTGATAATTCCAGGAATATTTCTCAGTAAGTATCTCATTTGCCCTCTAGCAGCAGCAACGAGGTGACTGTCCTTCATAATCAGCCTTCGAGAACTTCTATCAAACCTAAGGTGACTCCCTAATCTTATGGAAAATATAAGGAAAACTATAAAAATTACATCAGTATGCAACATAAATTAGGGAGTAGCGGTTCCTCATCAGTAAACCTCTAGAAAAGAGACAGTGATGTTTTTGAAACAAGCAAAAGGATGTCTTACAACAAGAATCATCAATACGGGAACACTCATTAGCTCTTAGGGGATAAGACTAATAACAATAAAGTATCTGGTGAGAAAGTAACATCGTCCACAACTATGATTAAATGCATAAAATCTTCGAATTAAAAAAGTTAATCAAAATTTGACACCATCTCCAACAATCCTAATAAGATTTACAATGACACCTCAAAAATAATCAGTTCATATAAAATCCAACAGTCTTTACCCTCTGAAGCTACAATCAAGAAAAATATAATAAGCAGATAAAACAGCTCTTAATACATAAAGTAACAGTCAGTCTAAAAGTCTTAGCTAAATAAAAGTAACTCAAATCAGAAAAAGCCAGCAATTTTAGTATCAGAGATACATTCAGAATCAAACACATTGCAAGTTTTTAGCAGTGTTAACAACACCACAACAGCAATTAATAATAATAGTAGTGCAAAGTAAAGTTTTAGACCAACTCCGAATAAATAATAGCTTGAATAAGATATTTCTTTTAGGAAGAGTGATCCTAAAATTCAAAAGGGATAAACTCAGTCTGCCTATTAGAGTGTCCAGCCATAATCGAACCAAAATCATTTAATGAACCTACCTCCCCCAACTCATCCTTAACATTAAAAGCAGCAAATATAGTTGACTTAAGCTTAAATCAAACATAACTAAACGTTAACAAGCATTTATGGAGCTTAAAAGAGTGCACCAAAAACACCCGTTAAGACTCAAGATAATGCTTAAGTATAGATTACTGCTCCTAATACAAATGGAACAACAACACCTCAATAAAATAACAGACTGACATTTAGCGCCAGTCATCACTAGAACTGTGCTCAAAGTTTTGTGACTCTAGAAACCTAGCAGATTGGTAATGCCAAAATAAGTTCTTAAAATAATATGAGTCATTATAAAAAAGCTGTAACCACTAAGCCAACTGATAAGCCTAATTGTAGTAGACAATGCAACAATGTGTAGTAAAGCAATATTATTGGATCACATAGCAAAACTAATCTTCATCAAGAATATCAAAAGAGAACTGTTCTACTTGATAAAGAGAAAGAGCATGTCTAAAAGCAGTACCAAACTCTTAAAAAATATGTAATTTTAACTTACTCTCAAATATTTATCTTTAGGAGCGAGATTCAAAAAGCAGGAAAAATAACAGAAGTAACTATAACTCTACTTAGAAAGATATAACAGTACAAGATGTTGAGCAATAGAAAAATTAAAAACTTAAGCAATAGATTAGTGGTCTTTACAATTTTAATCTCAGCAGATGCTAAAATCTAAATCACGCTTAATCGAATCTTACAACAGCTAAGAAAAGTAGAAAGACCCTTTAGTCAGCAATGCAGTCTGACAAAAAAGGCAAACAGCTTGCATCTATTCCTATCACTTAAGATTCGAATTTATTGAAGGAGTAGTACTCATAAAAGGATATCTGGGACAACATTGTCAACAATCATGAAGATATGGCTCTATAAAGTTTAACTCTTAATGCAGCTAACTAATCTGGCAGAAATTTACTTAAGCAGTTTAAGACGATTGATACTAATGGAATCGATGATATTGAGACCTCACCTTAAACAACTAGAAACTAAAAGTAGAACTTCTTCCTAAGACCACCCACTTGCTTCTTAAAGAAAAGCACGATTGAACACAGTACCCCTGATTCTAAGTTTAACATCCTAGATCCTATCAATGAGGACTCTAGAAAGATGTATACAGTCAAGCCCTAATCAAGTAGAAAGTAATATCAGGTAGAGGATTACTATTATGATAAAGATATGAAAAATGGCTTCATTGAGCATAATTAGGATACAATCTCGAATCGAACTAATGCCTTAAGAGACTCTTATATGAGTCCATCAAAACCTCCTAATGGTTCTTCGCATCAAAACAGCTTTTAAATGAGTACTATCAGTAAGAATCAAAGAAAAAATGCTCAATTCTAGGCTAGAAAGTATCAAGAAAAATCAGCATTTTTAGTGAAGAAAAGCACAAAAGATCTCACGATACCTTCAGAGTTTAATTTTAACACTGAGAGAAGGGCTTAAGAAAGGTCTGTAAGCAAAAATGGCAGGAAATCAAGGGATGATTTAGATTCGGCTTAGAGAAGAGATAAGTACAATAACAGATATTCAAACTATGGAGGAATTGATGAAGAGGCAGATTAGAAAGAGCAGAGTTCATTGCTTGACAGACTTATAAGAGAATATGACTTGGAAGAAGTATTTAAACAGGCCAAGAGCTAACTTGATAAAAAGAATCAATAGAACTATGAGGACATCTCGAGTAGTAAAACAAGTTCTATAAAGTTCGAAGATTGTTATTTACCTTAATAATGAGAATAGCTTCAGGGTAAATGGGCTTCTTTGCTTGCTTTTCACCCTGAGATTCTTAAAAAGGTAGATAAATTACATTTGCATGATGCTGATTGGATTATGATATAGATATTGATTGATTTTTGTTAACATAGACTCTAAATAAACAAATCAAACATGTCCTCTCTTAATCTAATTAAATATATCTAACTACTATATCAATTCTATTTCTAGCGTTTTTACAGATCTCTTTCCTTCTATCGCTTCAAAAAGTTCTAGTCTTATTTTTATTCTAGAAATTTCAATTAATTTAGATTTTCTTACAATCGATAATCTTTGTTAAGGCTTGATCAGTCTCCTCGTTTATTTACCTAAGAGCATTTAATGTAATCTCCATGAAAGATTTTCTTTATTCTGGAGTTTCATTAGCTTAGATAGAATCTGAATCTATTGTAACAGAATTGGAATGTATGATGTTCAAATCATCTTACTCTGGGGATTCTTTTATTTAAATGCTAACTTTGTATTGTTCCATACTTATATTTTCACTTAATTTATATCGATTTATTACTTTTATTATTCTGATTCATGGGGTTTTGGGGTTTTGGGGTTTTGGGGTTTTGGGGTTTTGGG